ATTTGTTTCATGATTTGGCCGATTTGGTGTTGTTTGTAATTCGGGTTAATTATTTAGAGAAATCCATGTTGCATTTTGTATCGGATACTTTTAAACGTGCCGATGTTAAAAATATCGGCTTGGTGTTGAACGATGTGGAATTTGGCAAGGGTGGATTTAGGTATGGTTATGGTCAATACGGGTATGGTTATGGTCAGCCGTCGTCCAATCAAAATTGGATTCAGAAAATAGTGGGTCGCTTTCGGTCGTAAAAGAGATTGAAGATCTTTGTTTTTAGAATAATTGAATTCTAAAAAATATTCCTTAAAAACTTTTACAATCCAAAAAAAAGTTTTATTTTTGCCATCCGTTTGAATGGATATCATAAGGCGGAATACTAAATACAGCATTATGTCAAGAGTTTGTGAAATTACTGGAAAAAAGGCTATGGTAGGGAATAATGTATCCCATGCCAACAATAAAACCAAAAGACGTTTTGAAATCAACTTGTTTAAGAAACGTTTTTATGTGCCCACGGAGGACGTTTGGGTTACCCTAAGAGTAACACCCCATGGTCTGAAAATCATTGATAAAATTGGAATTGAGGAGGCGTTAAAGCGATCTCGTAAATTAGGCTTAATAAAATAACAAGGCATCATGGCAAAGAAAGGCAATCGTGTACAAGTGATATTGGAGTGCACCGAACATAAAGAGTCGGGAGTACCAGGTACTTCAAGATACATCACCACCAAAAATAAGAAGAACACTCCAGATCGTGTAGAGTTGAAAAAATTCAACCCAGTGCTTAAAAAGTACACCGTTCACAAGGAGATTAAATAATTCATAGCTTAAAAAATCCGACATGGCAAAGAAAACAGTAGCAACCTTGCAAACAGGTTCAAAAAAAATGACCAAGGTTATTAAAATGGTTAAATCGTCCAAATCTGGGGCTTATGTTTTTCAGGAAAGTGTGGTTAACGCCGATGACGCTGCAAGTTTTTTCAAGCAATAGTATTGTTTGAAAAAAAAATACCTATATTTAACCTATCCCATTGGGGTG